ACCGAAAGCCGATCGCTGGCCGCGGGGCGGCGTTCCGCGACAAGCCCGTGCCCGCATGCCCACGCGACACGCGCAATTCCCCCTGCCCGCCGGCTGGGCGGGCTACGCGCGGCGCGCTCGGCGCCGTGCAATTCGGGAAATGAAGCAATGCGTCGTAAGTGCTCCGGCGGCCCCCAGCAGCGCACTACCGCTCGCGCCGGCGGGCACACCGCGCCGGATGAGCCCCCCGTCGAGGGCCCAGGGAAAGGCGCGACACATTTTCAAATGATGTCGCGTATACGATCGCCGCGGATGCGACCCCCGATCGCCCGCCAGCGCTCCACTCCCAAGCAGACCCTCGCGGCGGCGCAGAAATCCGTCCAGTCTGGAGCGCGGTTGTTAGCAAAGCTGGCCGGCCAACACACATGCACAAGCGAGCAATGATGAGCCCTGGCGATATCTGGGAGCGCGCCCCCAACACATGTGTGGCTGACCACCACGGCGAGCATGCGCAACCGCCATGCGCAACCGCCGCCATGCGCAACCACCACGGCGAGCATGCCGGCCCCACCTCTCAACCGTCTGGGCCACCTGCAGCAGCTGGTCTGCAAGTGCTTCGTGTCTGGCAATGGCCTGTTCCTGGGTGCCGACGCCGTCGAACATGTCCAGGTTCGCGATCCAGCCCTTCCCCAAGCGGAGGAAATCGAAGCTGGACGCCGTGAAGTGTTCCCTCTGCCGGCCGTCCGAAGTCAGCGCATGTCTGTGGCGCCGCGCGAGCGCGGAGACATCCAGAGACGCCCTGGGGAAGGAGGGAAGGAAAGGATGGGCCAGGGATGAAAGGGGAAAGGGAAGGGATAGAGGATAGAGGATGGAATCGACGGGAGGAGCACAAGGACACCACCCGACACGTACAAACAAAAAGAATTGCACTGGAACCACGATCCATGTGAAAACCCTGCAAAACCAAAAACAACACTGTCATCGATGTGGCGCCCCCGAGCCAAAAACAAATGGTGGCCTGTGATTGGTGCGATTGGTACGGGGGTGAGGCGGAGAGGGCACGAGAGCCTCGCTGAAGCGCCGATGGCGCAAACCTTGAATGTTGGTTGTTACTGTTTGGTTGGTGCGTTGTCATTTGTTGTAACTTTTTTTCGGTGCCACAAATGACGCCAAACAGCGATAATCATGGATCCAGTGACTGACATTGATAGCCCAGAGCATTCAGGTATCACACCAGTGCGTAATATCTGTGACTTCGCAGCCAAAAGTCTAATTCTCTCTTGAAGGACGAACGTCCTTCTCCACCCTCTCTCTCTGTCTCTATGCGTCTTTCACAAAAGGAAGCTGCTCCTAAGTCTGTATCAAAAAAACAAACAAATCATCAAAATTCAACTCAAAAAAGACAAAAAGAAAAAAATAAAAAACAAAAAAACATTCACAATCATCCCATCATAATAAGGAAGCTGCTCCTAAGTCTGTATCAGCAGATTCGCCAACATCCGCATCAACATCTACATGAGTATCAGCATCAACGCGGATAGCTCAGACACTTTCGGGACAGATGCTCACGCCACATACCCTGAGATATCACACCCGCCCTCCCGCCCCCCCCCCCCTCCACCCACCACATCCACCCCCCCTCCCGAACTGTGAGGAGCCACACGGCAATCTCGGCGGTCTGGTCTATGGAGTCCATCGCCTCGCTGGGCACCAATGAAGGGAAACTGGGACACACAAATAAATACACACAAATAAACAGATTCCCCATATTTTCCCATATTTTCTAGGTTTTGGGGTTCCCCACCACTTCCCATATTTTCGCATATTTTCCTGGGAATCGACGATTAATTGTGTCTGTGTGTTTCTTCCCCTCCTGAACCAAAGGAGAGAGCGCCAGGGGGCAACGGGTCCTGGACACCGGTGCTCCATCCAGGACTGCAGTTCGCATCCTGGGCAGTCTGTCGACGACCCGACCCCAGGGCTCCAAAAATCACGACGCGGCTGATTGCTGCACCCGGGGAAGCAGAAAACTACGAAACAAAACAGGACCCACTTCCCCTCAGGACCCGTGCTCTTCACGACGACTCTCCAGACAAATACTTCACATCCAAGCGCAGCCTTCCAGAGTCTATCCTGACCAGTGTGGGGAGCTGCGGCCAACCACGGCCGAAAGGGCCCACCAGGAGGCCCCCCCCAAACGGAAATAAGGTGAGAGCCCCACATCTCGGGGGCGTCCAAGAGGGGGGCGTCCAAGAGGGGGGGGCGCAAATCATGGCTGGCGGCATGTGCGCGGCCCTGGGGAGGAGCCGAGGCCGCATTAGAATAAGGAGAGGCGCCGCGAAATCTGGGGATACATCATGGCCCCCATCCATGATGTCCCCCGCCCCTCTCATCAGCACCCCCCTCCTGGCCGCCCCCGATAATCCGCACGCCGAGTGGCCTCGGGGTCCTCCTGGTAGCAGCCCGTCTCCCGCTGCTGCGACACCAAGAAGTCCGCGATCCTCCGGGCGGTCTCGGCATCTCCCGCCATGGCGGCTGCTCGCGCCACCTTGTGCGCCATCGGGCTCTCGAAGACCTCGGGGGGAAGTCCCGTCACTTCGTCCTGTTCCTGCTGCTCTCCCGCTCCAACATCCCTCCTCCTCCTCCTCCTCCTCCTCGTCCTCCTCCTCCTCCTCCCTCCTCCCCCTCGCCTTCCCCAACCTTCTCCTTCTCCTCCTCCTCCTCCTCCACCTCCTCACATTCCCCAACCTTCTCCTTCTCCTCCTCCTCCTCCTTCTCCTCCTCCTCCTCCTCGTCCTCCTCCTGCTCACCATCCTCCTCCTCCGCCTCCTCCTCCTCCTCCTCCTCCTCCTCCTCCTCCCCCTCCTAGTCATCAGCAGCAGCATCATCATCAGCAGCAACATCAAAACCCTCAGCATCATCATCCGAAACATCATCCGTATCAGCATCAGCATCAGCAGCAGCATCATCAGCAGCAGCATCAAAATCCTCAGCATCATCATCAGAAACATCATCCGTATCAGCATCTGCATCATCAGCATAATCAGCAGCAGCATCATCCTCATCCTCATCAATGTCCTCATCCACCCTCCTCCGCCTCCTTCATGATCTCCCTCTCCCCCCTCAATCATCATCATAATTCAGCATCATTATCAGCATCATCATCTGCATCATCCTCATCAGCATCATCGTCATCATTCAGTATCAGCATCGAAATCATCATCAGCAGCAGCATTATCACATTCATCATGAGCGTCTTAAAGGGCCTCATCACTAGCATCATCACAGTCACCGCCATCGCCTTTAGCATCAACATCATTATCACCATCATAAGCATGATCACGATCTTCCTCCTCCTCCTTCTCCTCCTCCTCGTCCTCTCCCTCCTCCCCCTCGTCGTCCTCCTCCTCCTCCTCCCCCTCGTCGTCATCAGCAGCAGCATCATCAGCAGCAGCATCATCATCCTCAGCAGCATCATCTGCATCATCATCAGTGTCAGCATCGTCATCATTATCATTCCCATCATCATCCGCCCTCCTCCTCCTCCTCCTCGTTATGTTCCTCCTCCTCCACCATCAGCATAAGGCAGCATCATCATCAACATCATCAGCATCATCAGCACCATCCGAATCATCCTCATCAACATCATCGCCATCACTCATCATCATCATCATCAGCATCATCATCAACATCATCATGATCATCATGATCATCATCATCATCATCATCATCATCATCATCATCATCATCATCATCATCATCATCATCATCGTCATCATCATCATCATCAGCATCATCATCATCATGTGTCATTACCAGCATCAGCAAAGGCGTCATCACCTGCATCATCACAAACGCCACCATCGCCTTCAGTATCAACATCATTATCACCAGGATACGCATCATCACAACCGTCATCGTCATCGTCATCAGCATCGTCACCATCATCAGCATCATCAACAGCATCATCACAATCATCAGCATCATCATGATCATCAGTATCATCATCATCATTATCATCATCAGCATCATCATCATCATCATCGTCATCATCATCATCATCATCATCAAAATCATCATAAACATTACCATCAACAGCACGATCACCATTGACGCGATCTGCTTCCCATCCGTCGACCTCGGCATACGCGTTCTCCTGTCGAAAACTGAATATCACCATCCACGGCACCTCGTCGTCGCCGTGTTCAGGGTCGGCGGCGCCGGCCGTAAGGCCTTCGCGATCACTCCTCTCCTCCTCCTCCTCCTCCTCCTCCTCCTCCTCCTCCTCCTCCTCCTCCTCCTCCTCCTCCTCTCCATCCTCCCCATTCTCCCCCTGCCCCTCGACTCCTCCGCCTCCGTCTCCTCCTCATCCTTCGTCCTCCTCCTCCTCCTCCTCGTCCTCCTCCCCGTATAGCTCGTCATCCTGCCGTCCCCCTGCGGAAGAAGTCCGCCACTACGTGCGCCGCACGCCACTGTCCTGCAACTATCATGCGGCACCCTGCCAGCGCCTAACTGGCAACCTGGGATGCCGACTCGTGCCGTTTGGCCAGGCCCCTCCTCCCATTCCTCCCCTTCCAACATCTCCTCTTCAAGCCCGTCCTCCTCCTCATCCTCCCCCTCCTCCTTGAGGGGAAACGAGGGTGTGGCTGGCTCATTGGGGGGAGCATCGATCTGAAATCGGCGATACATCGCTTGTAGATCGGCGATAGGTCCCCGATGGCGAAACCGCATGCTCCTGGGCGGGGTGAGGCATCGGCCCCGCATCGGCGATAAATGGGCCGGTGTTGGTCGATGTGTCCCCCCCTTAGCCTACCCTTCGGGTGATAAGGAGCTTGGATGGTGGGGGGAAAAAACAAACTGATGGCAAATGCGATCGGTGTGATGATGACGATGCTGGTGATGCGCCCTTGAGTTAGCGACGACGCGTGATGACGATGTTGTGCTGCGATGTAATGCCACTATCGTCCCCGCTGTCGATCTTGATCGATCGATCCCACCCACTATCAACCTCGCGGCCAGTCTTAGTACGAATGGATTCAGCGATCGATCCCATTATCGATCCTAATAGCGATCTCACTATCGATTCCTCTCTCCATCTCACTATTGATATTACAACCAACGTCACAATCAACCTCACTGTCGGTCTCACTTTTGATCTCCCTATCCATCCCATTCTAGCGAGCTCATTATAGATCTCACTATCGACTTCACTATCCTTACCAAGGTGGGACACCCCCGGCCACCGCCCTCCCACCGCTGACGGCACACCTTTTTTTTGGTCTGCGGGTCGAGAGCGAGCCTCTTCCGGTGAAGAGCTAGGCGGGCCGCGCAAAGCCCTAATTGGGGAGACAGGGCGCGGGCGGGCGGGGCCTCAGGCGGCCCGAGCCGACGGCACACCGACGACACACCAACGGAGCACCACAGGACACCACGGCGGGACACCCCTGGCCACCGCGCGCCCACCGAGAGCGGAACTTCGCGCCTCGGCCGCACGCACGACACGAGCACGACACCGAGACCGAGTTCCTTGGTGGGGGGATCCCCGTTCCGCTGCGATCTCACCCCACAACCTCCGATGAAGGTCACCCCTCTCTTCCTCAAGGTTAGGAGGCAACTACTGGGAGGTTTTCGTCGGAAAAAATAAGGAGGATTAAGCCCCATTTGAAAGCTGTTACGCCAGAATGGGCCTCGGACTAAGCAGGATTAAGCCGGATTAAGCGGGATAGCGATTAAAAAAAAAAAAAAAAAACAAAAAAAATAAAAAAAAAAAAAAAAAAAAATAAAAGCGGGATTAAGCCAGATCAATAAAGCCAAATAAGAAAAGAAAAAAATAATAAAAATAAAATAAGGAAAAAACAAAAACAAAAGCAAAGAAGCCAAAAAAAATATGACAACTACACAAAAAGAAAAAAAAAAAAAAAAGAATTAAAAATAGGGATCTGAAATCGAGACAAATAAAGACAAACCAAAAAGAACAAAAAAAAAAAACAAACACAGAATATAAAAGCAAAAAATAAAAACTCAAAAAAAGAAAAAAAAAAAAAGATATAAAAACAAAAAATAAAAAAAACAAGCGGGATTAAGCCGGATTAAGCCGGATTTCGGACCAGGGCTACATCAGAATTTGACCTCCCAGGAGTTGCATCCGAGTCAAGGGAGGGAATACCGATACCGCTACACCCGGGACCTCCCCCGTTGCGACGAGGGCCTCTCAGGAGGCCCCAGCAGGCGAACACGAGGCAAGGGTAGGGTCATCGGTACCCTTTACTCCTCCGATCATCCACCCCCCTCTCTCACAGCCGCCGACATGATTTTGTTTAGTCCGGGGGCCCAGAAGCCCCCTCCTCTTTTCTTTTCGGGAGCGGCCAAGCGGGGGGTGTCCAAGAGGGGGGGGGGGGGTGGGCAAATCATGATCGGCGGCATGTGCGCAGCCCAGCGGGGGGGGGGCAGGGACGTAATGAAATAAGAAAAGGCGCCACGAGATCTGGGGAAATATCATGGCCCCCGCCATGATATCCACCCCCCCTTAGTCATCACCCCCCTCTGTTTCGCCCCCGACTCTTCCCCGTGGCAAGTTCTTCGTCCCCGATCAGGTGTTGATGGCCCCGGGCCAGGAAAACGGCCCCGAGGGCCGAAATCTAAGAGAAAGCGCCGCCTAAAAAAAGAATCGTCGGACATCTGGGCTCCTCCTCCTCCTCCTCCTCCTCGTCGAGCCTCCTTCCTCTCCTTCTCCTCCCCTCCCTCCAACTTCGTCCCCCGCAAGGACCCCAGCGCAGCCCCTGAGGAAGTCGAGCACGCGCAGGGCGGCCTCCCGGTAGCCCTCCGAGCCCGTGGTGTGGTGGAGCTCCAGTAGCGCCATGGCCGGGAATGCCAGGAGAAAGTAGAGCTGTCCGGGCGCGCCCTGCGGGGTGCGACCCAAGGACGCACCCCTCCTCCTCTTCCTCCTCCTCCTCCTCCTCATCCTCCTCCTCCTCCTCCCCCTCCTCCTCCCCCTCCTCCTCCTCCTCCTCCTCCTCCTCCTCCTCCTCGCGCCGTGCTGAGAAGCACGCGAGACGAGAGGTGTCCGACCAGCTGCGGCCTCCGAGAGGGGGCCCCCTCCACGGGCCCAGGGAGCGTGGCCTAGACTGCTCAGGACGCAAGCCTAGTCCAGGGTCGGGGACGCGCTGACCCAGGTCAATTCGGGGATCTTCTGACCCGGGTCAGTCCAGACTCCAGACCCGGGTCAGCAGGAAAAAACAAAAACTGCAGTGCAGGGAAAAAAAACTGCAGCGCAGGTCTTCGCAAACCCGGGTCAGCCAACATGTGCGGCCGCTTCGCGGCCACGAGCGGCTCGCTAACCCGGGTCAGCCAAAGGGGGTCTTCGCAGGATCCTGCAGGATCCGGTGCCGTGGTTGACCCCCGTTTGCACTGACCCCCGTCTCAAGGCTCCCGATCAATGCGAACCCGGGTCAGGCCGGCCTTGCAGGATCCTGCAAGATCCTGCACCCAAAGGAGCCTGCAAGATCCAGCGCTCTGGCTGACCCCCGTTTGCTTTGACCCCCGTCGATTCAGCCCCCACAGGGAAAGGGCTTGACACCTCCGGGGTTCCCGTTTTGAAAAAACTACGCCATCGCCTGGAACGTCAGGAGCAAAATCACAGCTGCCAGGGATCGCCCCACGGGGTGCGGCGGCGATCTTCCCCGTACAAGATGGCCAATACTCAGATAACAAGAAGTTGCAGAGACAAGAACTTTCGGATATTCCCGCGGATGTCTTAGATCTTGGCTCGAAGCCCCTGCCTGCTCCTCTGGCGCCGCCCCCTGGCGCGCTCCTCGCGCCAGGGACGAGAAGATCCAGCTCCGATCCAAGCAATCCGCGGGAGCCTTCGGCAGTGTATGTGTATGTGTTGTTTGTCTTCCTCGAATGATGACCAAGATGGCCAAGATGGCTCCTGATGGCCCGTGAAGGGGCGGCTAACGCTTCAGAGGGAACACCACTTCGGCTGATGCAGGAGAAGAGCCAGCGGAACGGCGATAGCGTCGTTACAATGGGCTGAGATTCTGAATGTGGCCAGCGCTGCAGCCTGAGCACAACATCTGAGAGGCACAGAACCAGAACTACAGTTGGGCAACGCTGTGCGTCAAATGTACCCTGCGGAATGGTCGGATGAATACAAAGACAACACTATGGGACAGAGGAGAGAAGTATTAAGATTGAGCAAGTTTGGAAAACGAGTGAGAGAGATAGAGAAAGGGGAAGTGAGAGGGCGGGAAGAGAAGAGCGATTACATATATATATATATATATATATATATATATATATATAACATATATATATATAGACGGGGGAGGGAATAAAAAAAAGGGGAACGGGAAGAAAACGGAAACCCGGGAGAAGGGAGAAAAGTCAGAGGAGGATGTGATACGGGGTGGGGCAAGGGAGGAGGGAGAGACAGAGAGGGACGAAAACAGGGGGTGCACCTGTCCCCTTTTCCCCCCCGGCCCCCCTCCTCTGTAACCTACTTATACAGTTTCCCCCTTCCCCCCTTCCCACCGCCACACTCCGCCTCCAGCCGGGGCGTGCGCCCCTCTTCGTCCTCGTCCTCCTCCTCTTCCTCCTTCTCCTCCTCCTCCTGCTCCTCCTCCCCCTCGCCTGCATACCGCGCAGCCTGGTCCTCCCGCTTTCCACCTCTCCCCCCCCTTCTCTTCCTCCGCCACCCCCTGCATCGGTTTCGTCCTCCTCCTCCTCCTCCTCCTCCTCTTCCTCCTCCACCAACTCCTTAGCCGTTCTGGCTCAGGCATTCGGCCCTGAGCTTGCAAGCACGCATTTCCGAGCGGCTTATGCTTGCGAGCCACCTGGCGCAAAGACGAGTTCGGCTGGCCAATGGCATCGCGTCGCGATGCGCCTGGGGTCCGAGCCTCAACGACAGCACAGTGGGAATGCACGGGCAAGTGTGGTGGATGCCCGAACTATATCAGCAAGGCGGAGAGCAGAGCGTGTTGGGCTAAGGCGCCGCCCAGCACTCTGGTCACCCTCATAACGTGCCGGCCCCTCAGCCTCGGCACAGCGCCGTGGCGCGATGGAGGAGGAGGCGCCGCGGGGGCCGTCAAGCCCCAAGGTACGGCCAAGGCCAAGCCGAAGGGTCGTGCCCGCGGTGCCCAGTGGGCAACGCCAAGGACTGGCAGTCCCACTTCGGCTACAAGGGAACTGGAGGCACCGGCGGGGAAGCGAAGGCCGTCGTCGACCTCAGCGTCGCCAAGCTGCTGGAAGCCACCAACAAGGCGCTGGTGGCGGCTGGCAAGGACGGCCTCACCGAGGGCCAGCTCTCCGTGGTTTCACCAGCTCCACCCAAGCAGGAGGTGGTCGACATCGCATCGAGGCCGCTGGCCCAAGTGCCCCAGAGGAAGTCGGACAAGAGCAAGGAGAAGGCCAAGGTACGCGCGGCACAGCGGGCCCAGAGGCTGGCGGCTGCGCAAGAGGCCTACGACGCGGAGCTGCGCCAGCTCCGCGAGCACGAGACCAAGCTGGCAGAGCAGGAGGCGATCGAGCAGACCAAGTGTGCAGAGTCTGCCATGAGCACAAAGGGAGACACGGTCGCTCTCCTTGACCAGCTGGCGCGGCTTCTCGACGCCCTCGCCCAGCACGAGGACATGCAGGATGGCAAGACGAGCCTCGCGCACGTCCGTGCCGTCGCCGCCAAGACCAAGGAGAAGCTCCCGGTCGCAGAGCGGGCTGCAGCTGCAGCCAAGGAAGCCCCCAGCACTGGTGGTGCTCCTGCTGCCGACGGCCCTGGGGCCCCTGCAGGCGGTGGCGCAGCCAACGGAGGCATGGGCGTGGAGGTGCCTGACTTCGAGGTGGGCCAGGACCTCGCCGACCAGGTGGCCGCTGTGGTGGAGAAGCCGGGGGGGCTCCCGTCCAGCCTTCGACCTGGACAAGCCTGGGGACGTCGACAAGCTCAAGCGGGTGGCCCCCGAGCTCCTGGACGCACAGGCACTGGCAGCAAAACGGCAGCGTGTTTGACCATGGACAGGAAGGCCTGCGTCAAGGTGAATTTCGTAGGCATGGCTGACCTCGGACAGTTTTGGGGGTCCAACGCGCGCGACTTGGAGTGGCCTGAGCTGGGGTACCACATCCCTGCAAGCCGCCCAGACAGGTGCTTCTCCTCCGACATGGAGAGACGTGGAGCACTCAAGTTTGCCACCCCTCAGGCCAGGAGAGCCAGCGAAGAGGGCAATGGCACATGGAGACCGCAGGTGGGGTCATGTCCTTCGGCCTCCGCGTCGGGCGGCGCACTCACTGTCCCCGAGAAGCTGGAGACCCGTTCGCAGACGAAACCCACGCGGGGCTCGGGTTCACTCGAGCCCCTGGACCCACGTGAGAGACCCTGCGAGCGGGGATCGGCGAAAGGGTGGCAGAAGTCGCCACGCGAAGGCAGACCTAGTGCTCAAGGTGCTGCTGCGGGTCGCGAAGCTGCCGGAGATGGTGCGAGGCCGCCTGCGGAGGAGTCGAGTACGAGAGGCAGGCCCAGCAGGACCGCGTCCGCTTCGGAGGAGGTCGCGGGGAAGCTGAGGTCCCAGGTTTGCGGCGGAGCTGGGTCTCGCCGGGGTGGGCTGGAGACTCGCGCTCGGCGACCTCTCGTTGGCGTGTCGAGTGCAAGCGCAGCTCGAGGTGCAGGTGTTCTCCATTCCCCTTGTGAAGGCGGTCAGCAGCGCATCGCGGCTGACAAGGAGCCCGGCAAGCTCACGTTAGTTTCGGCGAATACCCACTCGTGGGCCAGTGGTCAGGCCTTCTTGGAGTGGAGCAGGGACAAGAAGCTGACGTTCGACTACCCGGCTTGCAGGAGCACCGCATCACGCATGGCGCCAAGCTGAAGTCGGCGGCGACCTGGGCCCCGCGCGCTGGCTTCGAGTCCTTCGGAGGTCTGGCTCAGGACACGGGCCTAGGGCCCCTGGACAGCCCTGGAGGCGGGGCAGTCTTCACGGCGATGGCGGCGGCCAGCGTGGATAAGCCAAAGGAGCGCAGCGTGCTGGGCCCCCATTGGGCGCGAGCCGCGAAGCTCAACGCGGGCCCGGACTTCCCGATCTTCTTTGTCTCGGCCTACATGGTGGACAGCATCGGGGTCACAGGCGACAACATTGCGCTGCTTGAGGCCCTGCAGTCCTGGCTTGGAGGCCTCGAGTGGCCTTGGGCCATCCAGGCGGACTGGAACATCGAGCCCGACACGACTTGGCCAGCTGGGCCAAGCAGGCCTCAGGAGTGTTCGCGCGTCCCTGGAGTCCAACTTGCGGCAAGCGCGAGTACGACTACGCCATAGTGTATGAGGCTCTGGCTAGTCGTGTTGGCGAGGTCAAGGTGCTGGGCGACGCCCCGATCTCGCCGCGCACGCCGACCGCCATCGAGCTGAAGGGCCTACATCAGAGGACCACGGTAACCAAGGCGGTCTACCCCAGTAGGTACCCGATGACCCTTGCACCTCCTGCGCAGGCAGCGCCGCCTGAGCTCGCCGATGACGAATGGCCGCGGTGCTTGGGGGCTAGACCTACCGACGCGGAGGAAGCCCCCAAGTTCTGGCACGCCCTGGCAGAGGACAACCCTGACAAGGCTCCACCAGCTGGAAGGGCACAAGCGTAGCAGAGCGGCCAGAGACAGAGGCCCGCAGGTGGAGACAGTTCCTCTGGTCCAGCGGTGGGAGGACACGCTGAAAGGAGACGACCAGCGCAGAGCACCGCAAGTGGGCAGGCCTGCTAGCGACTTGCAGAAAGGAGGCCGCCCTTCGAGGACACCAGCTGGACGACGGTTGGGGCAGGTACTCCCGCTTCGAGCGCCACGTCCGCTTGGTGCGCGCGTTCGAGTTCGACAAGGCGGAGTGGCCGACCTCTGCGCCGCTTGCTGCCTGGGGCCAGCATGCCATTGCGCACGCAT